AATAATTAGCTTTCTAATCAGCACCTAGATAAGCCGCGCCTGGGGAACGGATTATCATGGCAAAGGAGAAGTGCTCAATATTAGAGATTTATGAATAATATTTATGAGTTATGCGTCGATCTCTGAGTTCTGCTCATGCAAAACGGGAGCAAAACAGAAAGAGTTTACATTTGTACTCTGTGTGTATTCCATAACAAACAAAAATTGAAGGAAAAAATCTGACTTTATTTCCATCTTTCTCGCTGCTGCAGATCGAAGAGGCGGGGGCTGTTTTAGTGGTTGGTGGTGGAACCACAGGTGTTGAAATGGCAGCTGAAATTAAGACAGAATTTCCAGGAAAAAAGGTGGAATTCTTTGTTCTTGTGAGAATGGTTCAGCACACGCTTGGTCTGCAGAAAGATGCATGTGTTGTGCTTCTGCAGGTGATTCTGATTCACTCGCGTGAGGACCTGGCTGATCCAGAGCTGCTGCCCAGTGTAAAGGAACAAGCCAGGCAGGTGCTGCTGGAAAAAGGGGTGGAGCTGTTGCTAGGTAACAATCCCAACTTCACCTCAGGTTACTCAGTGTTAGGATGTTATCGCATACCTGTTTTGCGAGAAAGAGAAACAGGAGCAGAATGTGGAAGACTATGTTTTGACGGAAGCGATTGAACTTTCTCTGTTAAAATTAGACCTAAAAAGGGCTTTTAGAGAAGTAACTAGTAGAATTGTTGTGAGCCACATCCAAATATGTATTTATATATCATTCATGTTGAGCTGGGCAACCATGGAGTACACCACACATGAATGGTGGGCGGGGGGGTGCCGCAGAAAGGCCGGAATGCACTAATAAATTATCAAAAGCCTGGAAAGGTGTTAAAGAACCTGTGTCTGAGGAGGAAGAGGGGAGGAAAATTAGAGCAGGATTCTTCTCAGTAGTAAATGTTGAGTTACTTTAATGTTTTGCCACTTTGATAATTTTTAACTGCACTTTTTCATCAAGTCTTCAACTTTATTTTTTTATATTTGCTCCTCACTGTTTTTCTCAGTCAGAACTGAAGTTTGCAGAATGTAAAATACTTTATTTATCGTGCAACAGTCTGGTTCTCCATCAATCATTGTGTCAGCGTTAACAAAATCTCATGTAATTTTTCCCACATTGTGAATTTATCAGGCTAAACTCAGGTTATACTCAGGTTTGTAAATCTAATGTACTGATGTGTCTCCTAATTTACAGAAAATTTTTACATGGTAAAAGAGAATAGATCATTTCCATGTAACAAATCGACATATGTTACGGTATATGGAATAATCGAAACAAAAGCTTTTATTGAATTCATTTTTAGCCTACTATTAATGGTACACTGTCCTCGATTTAATACATGCTTGTGACACTTCTGTGCACACTGAAGTCTGAAACTTTCCACAGGCCTTGCACACTGAATATTTTAAAATCCCAAAAACAAACAAATCGCAAAAAAGGCGTCCTCACCCAGTGATGATGAATTTCTCAAAATCTCTGTTTTGCAAAAAACTGAGAGAAAAAGAAATACAGTGGTACCCTGAGATATGAAATTAATCCGTTCCAGGAGTTGCAATTCGAAGGAAGTTTTACCTAATCCGTTTCTTAATAATGTTTCTTAAGGCCGGAATGCACTAATAAATTAACAAAAGCCTGGAAAGGTGTTAAAGAACCTGTGTCTGAGGAGGAAGAGGGGAGGAAAATTAGAGCAGGGTTCTTCTCAGTAGTAAATGTTGAGTTACTTTAATGTTTTGCCACTTTGATAATTTTTGTAACCGCGACAACAATTTTACTCGAATCTATGTAGGTGGATATATATGGAAACTCCACAATACCAATAGCTTAGCACTGAGAATTGGAGGAGCTTTGGTTTAAAACATTGAATTGATGACACGTTGGTGGCTGGAGCTGTGTACTACAGTGGTGCCTCGAGATACAAATGCTTTGAGTTTCGAAAAATCCAAGATTAGGCGTTTTACATGTAAAACTTGCTTCAAGATACGAAAGCCACCCTGGAACGGATTAATTTCGTACCTCGAGGTACCACTGTATATTGTAACGTCACAGTTTTGAGCTAAAGATTCTGTTAGAACTCGTTTCTGAGTTAATTTTCAAAATTGATTATATGGGCATTTTAAAGTTTGACATGAGTAAAAGTGGGTTTTTTACAAAATAACCGACTTCGTTATGATGGAAATGTAATAGGTGGCGCTTTAGAGCTCAACATTCACCTGTTGAGCCCCAACGGTTTTGCTATCGTTGCTCTTTTGCCGGTGCAGGTCAAAAGGTGTCGAACCTGGAGGAGCTGCAGCTGAATGTGTGTCGGAGTGGGATGCTGGTGAAGACTACTAAAAACGAAGAGGTCACTGCTGATCTGGTCATCTGCTGCACAGGAAATAAGATCAACTCTGAGGCGTACAGAGCCAGTCTGAGTGAGTCTCCGTTATTTTGTTTTTAATACTTTATAGAAGTGCTTTCCATGGAACAATCCTGTTATTATAAACAGAAATGTCATTTTAATGATGTGGGAAATCGGTTTTCTCAGTGTTGGGGACTGGTGCACCGTTAATGTTTTGCTCTTGTCTCTCGTTTTTTTTCTATGACTAGCTTGTTGCAGGGTCTGTAGTGATATTTCCATGTCCTGAAACATGCTAAACAAACTTGGAACAAACTTCCTCCATTCTTAAATATAATTTGTGCATATTGATTAGGAGTGTTCGATTCGATGGGATTTCATTGCGATACGATATACTTCAATTTGATTTGACAGTTTCTTCTCGAACCCTTAGAAGTCTGGAGCCTTTCGGGGGTTTTATTTTACAATATGCTCTAATAAATTACCTTTTTTATTTTGTGGTAATGCATGATCATTTTTTTACATCATCCCCAGCTTCTTTATTTTTTACAAATATGTTTGTTATGTTACACAATAATTCCACCACAACCCTGAAATTGAACAAAAAGCACAAATCTGAGTAGAAAATTTTGTCTTCATTACTGCAAAAAAATGAGAACGAACTGATTTTATGTTTTATAACAAAAATTGGACGTGTTGACAAAATACAAATTTATAAATCCCCAAAGAAAAAGAGCAAAGACAATGTGAAAAGTGTATAGCGTTCTCTCCTAAACTCCTGCACTGTTCCAAGCACTTTTTGTTCCATTGTGCTTTGTTTTGTGCAGGAATTTGTTTTGAAAAGAGCCCTGATAACAGGTCTTTTATGTCAAAGGGTTATCCCTTCTTTTTACCACTAGTTTGGACTTGACGGCACAGACTTGAGGTCTAAAACGAAACTGCCACAAAAAAAACTACATGTTTCCCTTTAATGTTTCCTGTTTCCTTTTGATTGAACAAAGTTTAGGCGTAATCCATTTTAGGAAAGTTTGGCACAATAATTGAAATATGGAAAAAATCTTGTCCAAAGCTTCCGCTACGTTCATGGTCTTCTTTTCTTGCTTACAGGACATGATTTCAGCAAAAAAAACTCCTAAAGAAATGCTGTAAAAGGGGGGGTTGACGCCCTTTTACACTGTCTTCATGCGCAATGTGTAAGCTTCTGTTCATTCCGCTTCCAACCTTGTAACTTCCCTGTGTGTCCCCGTTGGACCGTATGTCCAATCCAGGAGCTCTATACCTCGTTAGAAAGCTTTGAATCTGTAGGATCCAATGATATCCACCATTTTGAGACGGATCCCCGACGAATCACAGCTCACGGAGCGTGGAGAGGACTGCTTTTACGCATGGGGAG